TGGTCAGGCTGGTCTTGAACTCCCAACCTCAGGTGATCCACCCGCCTTGGCCTCCAAAGTGCTTGGATTACAGGCGTGAGCCACCACGCCTGGCCGGTAGTATTTATTTTCTTAACACATAGCATTTTTCGAACTACTTTCATTCCCTTGTGAGTGAAACAGCCACAGTTCCATAAACTTCTATGGGTAAATGGACTTAGAAGTCAGAGACTTGAATTCAGATTCAAATTTTTTGCTTGCTAGCATTATGAACGTAATGGAGTATTCAAATTTTTCTTTGTAGAATGTTTTAAAATAGGCACTCTGAAATTTGAGTTAATTCTTATATATGGTTTTGTCTGCAAGATACCAGTTCACAGGCACTGATTTTTTTTTCCAGTTTACCATAAACACACCGCCTACTCCAGAAGACCTGTTGTTAAGTCAATATGTTTACCGACCCAAGATACAGATTTATAGACAAGATTGTGAAGCTCGTCGCCAACAGATTGAAGAGTATGAAAGCTTTAATGTTTATATGTGGTGTTTTTTTTTAGGAGAGGGATCAGTGAATAGTTTGTGTGGTAAGGTTTTGATTAGAATAACACTGGCACGGGGAAAAGTGGATAGTATTAGTTGGCAGTCGATGGCATTGATTGGCTGTGTGATATGGGGGAAAGAGCTTCGGCCTTGTAGTCAGACTGAAGCTCAGTCTTGGCTTCAACACTAGCTGTATACCCTCGGGTAAGTCATTTAACCTTCATGTCTAAATCCATAAAGTGGAGATAATAAAACCTACTCAGCCAAAAGATGTGAACAATAGAAATTGCATACATAAATTGTTTTCATACCATTCTTAGGAAAAAGTAGGTCCTTAATAAGAATAAACAGTAATTATTAGATTACAGTATTATAAGTTGATTGCTAGAGAACATCTTTAAAAGAAAATATCTTTCAGAGATTTATGCAAGTTGAGTATCTCTAATCTGGAAATTGGAAATTTGAAATGCTCCAAAATCCAAAACGTTTTAGCCACCAATATGATGCAGGTGGAAAATGCCACACATAAATATAAGTGCTTACACAAACTTTGCTTCATGCACAAAATTATTTAAAATATTGTATAAATTGCCAGGTGCGGTAATGCATGCCTGTAGTCCCAGCTACTTGGGAGGCTGAGGTGGGAGGATGGCTTGAGCCCAGGAGCTCTGGGCTGTAGTGCACTATGCCAAGTGGGTGTCCGCACTAAGTTTGGCATCAATATGATGACCTCCCTGGAGTAGGGGACCACCAGGTTGCCTAAGGAGGGGTGAACCGGACCAGGTTGAAAACAGAGTAGGTCAAAACTCCTGTGCTGATTGCGCCTGTGAAGAGTCACTGGACTCCAGCCTGGGCAACATAGCAAGACCCTGTCTCTAAAAAAACAAAAAAATTCTATAAATTTACCTACAAACTATGTGTACAAGGTATATATGGAACATAAATGAATTTCATGTTTAGGCTTGGGTTTCATCTGCAAGATATCTTGTATATTCAAATATTCCAAAATCCAAAACACTTCTGGTCCCAGGCATTTCAGGTAAGGGATACTTAACCTGTATGTAGTGCCTGAAATCAGATTGCCTTTGACTTTAAAATTTTACCACATTTACCCTTGTTTACATATATAAAAGAACATGGTTTTACTTAGAAGATAGCTCATTGTTATGGTATACATTAATACTACAGACTGATTTACAAATTAGATATATCTAGATTCCCTTCAGTAAATCAGACTTTAAAACTCAAAATAATGTTTATGTCATACTTATCTGGGACTATCCAACTAAATTTGAACCAGTCTAACAAAAAAGAAATAAAATAATCTTTAAGAATTATCTGGGTTTTGGAAGTAGAAGAAAAAGAATATTTAAAATTTTAAAAATAATTATGTAATTTTAAAATCAGAAATTTAAGATATTTCAGATTCGCCTGATTCTATTCATTTAACAAATATTTATTTGAGCACCTGCATCTGCCAGGCATTATACTATGCACTGGGGTTCGTCACTGAACAAGACTGACAAATTTTGTATCTTCATGTTGTTTAAAAGAGTTGGCTGTGTCAGGATTTCACTGAGAATTTTGTTTCTTTTAATTGAGACAGAGTCTTGTACTGTTGCCTGGGCTGGAGTACAGTGGCGCACTCTCAACTCACTGCAGCCTTCGAATACTGATTTCAAGTGATTCTCCTGTTTCAGCCTCTTGAGTAGCTGTGATTACAGGCACCCACCAACACACTGGGCTAATTTTTTATTTTTAGCAGAGACGGGGTTTCACCATTGTTGGGCAGGATGGTCTTGAACTTCTGACCTCAAGTGATCCACCTGTCTTGGCTTCCCTAAGTGCTGGGATTACAGGCATGAGCCACTGTGCCTGGCCAAGAATGTTTATTTTGAATGAAACGGGATCTTACACTCAGTGAACAGTATGTTTAGGTGTGCTTTACTATTTGATTTTGCGTCCATGTGCCTGCCTATATACTCTGCAAGAGATCTTCTATCTCTGTTATAAATGTATTTTCTCCATTTATTAACAAAAGACTAAGATTATAATAGCTTTGCTGCTTTTATAAATGCTATTCTAAAAATGTGAGATAAGACTTTGAACTGAATTGGGAACTTTTATTAAAATAATAGCTACAACTTCATAGTAGATCATTGATAGACCTTAAGGATTCTTTATAAGCAAAATGTTTCACATTGGAACAAGTTGGTATGTTGAGATGAGAATTCTGTTAGTGATAGAAGGTTTTTTGATTTATGACATTCTTAAACTGCTATTCTTCAAGTGAATAATCAGATTGAATAATCAGGCTTTTATAGAGTGAATTCCCTTCTTTTTTTTTTTTTTTTTTTT